TCAAGAGAAAGATATTCGTTTGCGTGAAACGACATTATGACCACGCTGAAAAACGTAAACAGGAATTGATTTGCACGCTACTAACCGTAAATGCGACCTGCCGGCTTTGCATCGGTTTTATTCAGTCACTCTGTCACACTGTTCCCGGGAGTTTCTTCCGTTTGCACTGCTCAAACTACACGCGTAGCGCTTCGTTATGTATTTGAGCAACTTGTAATGAGGGCGACAACTTTTACTAAATCGCTACTTGACTCTGTAAATCAAATCATCGATAAACGTGATACTTGAACGGTCACACAGAGCTTGCAATGCTCGTACCTACAGCTACGGTTTAATACGTGCACCACAAATTTGTACCAGATAACGACAAAAAAGTCTTGGAATTCCGAAATAAATGTATTATAATAATCGGAATTAAATGTCTGAAAATGTAATTTACATTTCGCCATTAAAAAGCTTTTCCATAATCTTCTAACTCAGAAGAATTATATTTTATAAAGTTTGCATATTAAAAAAAACTTTAAACTATATTTCTCTGTAAACTAAATTTTTCCTTAATTTCAGTAATATTTTTTCCTAAACTTAGTTCGAACAGTTTCTTCTTTAATATATGACATTATTACTTTTCGTGTCATTAGACACGCCATCAATTTTCGCTAATAAGAAAATCCTTTCAACTTTAAGAGCTCTATAAAAATTATTTTTAAAAGAGACGATGGTGAATCCGGCGCATTCTTAGATCATATATCTCAATTTTGCATGACAATGCATTATATTTGGTAATGAAAAACCGCAAGCAAAAGCGGAGTACTGTTCGATTCAGAACTGACTTGTCTGAGGGTAACGTTTCGGTTTTTCTGGCGTAGAAAATCCCGCGGTCTTCTCAAGCGCCGACCGGTTTTCACCTTCTGACCGTGAGGCACGTAATATTACGTCACGTACTTGTGGCATCCCGCGGCTCCAGAGATTCTATCGCCCTTTCTCGATGTCGACGATGCACGCGTATTTTGCAACTCCCTTCGAACGTACACAACTCCCTCGATCAACAATGTTCATTTATTTCTTGCTCACGTATATCAGAGAAAACCCGGTTAGAAGTAAAGAAAATGAAGCTTGAGGTATGTACTCCCATATATACATATATATATGTATATAGACTCGATTTATCTAATTATCATCATGCAGCACTCAGCGGGAAGCGTTGCCTTAAGGCGACGAAGTATGTCAGTAGACATATCAATCCTTGTACTGATGAACAAGATAAATTCTTTGCGCTTTTGCAAACTGAGCGTTTGACCTAAATGTCACGCGCCCTAAAAATAAATAGAGCCCCTGTATCAAACGTAACAGTAACGCCAATATTATTAATCAAAGTCTTTTGTTGTATACAGAAAGAATGACTTTGCTGAAATATCCATAGAAATTTAGCTAAATGTGGATCTGAAAATAATTTTATTAGATCATCAAAATAATTATACAGAATAATTATGTAAAATAATTAAATAGGAATTTTTCACTTACGTATATTTAATCTCATCGGTCGATTTTCACTTAACATTTTCACTTAATATTATGTAGAAAACTCAAGTTGGTTACCAGAATGTCAAAATTTTTTGCAGAATTAATTGCTCATCATGCTTGAACTTCCTTTAATTATTTTCCTATAATTCCTATAATTATTTTGATGGTTCAATAAAATTATTTTCACAGATCTAACTAAATTTTTTAATATTTCAGCAAAATCGTTCTTTTCATGTAGAAAAGGCTACAGCATGTTTTACAATCTTTTCTATATCAAGAGTCTTCAATTTTATGTTTTATTAAATGTTAGCGCGTAATATCGGGTAATACGTTCACCTTATAGTTTACGGGAATTTAGCGTGTACGAGGTGCAGTATCTATACTTATATAAAAGAAGGTACCTTAATCATCCTATCATAACTCATGCTAAAACTGCTAAGGATTATAATACGGTCTAACTTTCACTAGAGCGCAGATCAGGTTCGATAGGTTAGCAATTCCGCATTTCTGGAGGCCAGCAATTCGCTTTTACGATTACCGCACACGTGATCATCGTCGAGATAGTTGTGAACTTTAGATATTAAGCAGTCATCGACATCGAGATACTGAGCGATCGAAATCACTCTGTTAAGTTTGCGAACGACGAATTCCACAGAGAACGTACCAATTACCTTAAAGGTAACGCGCGCACGACCATACGCACCTGTGTCTCTCAAACTTCCAAACATGATTACACAAACGCTGCGTGCTAATGCTTAGCAATGGCTATAGGATTATGTGTGTGTGTATGTGTGCATGCGCAAAGCTTCTTCATAACTCCTCTTCACGACAGGATGATAGCTCTCATTACTTACTCTCTCGAATACGCTCAACCTTGATTCCCGATGTCATCAATGACCAGAACTGTCCGTCCAAATTACTCATATCAATCATCGCGCGGTTCGATGAGCTAACCGATGAGCGCGAAGAGGTCAGGCACGTCCGCGCGGACATCGGCACGGTGAAAGGCCAGGAAGGCCTTCGCCTTCCACAGAGTATCTCGATGTTGCTTTTTGTTCAGCGATCGAGAGTAAAACGCTGGTAATAGTTACGCACGCGAGACGTTATCTCGCTGGCACGAAGAATGATCGCCACTGAGCGACGATCCATTATCGCCCCGTGCATTGTTTCCCGAAGCGCGATTAACCCAATGCGTTCCTGTACGACTAAAAAGTAAAAAAAAAAAAGGGGAGATAGATGCAAAGTACCTCTGACTTGCGCAACATCTTCTCGATATTGAATTAATATTGATGTTGTATTAATATTGATATCGAATTTATCAGAGTATTAATCTTACAGCTTGATTTATTAGCTAATTAGCAATGACTATCTCGGGTACGGTTGCAATTATTATCATTATCATTTTACGAATAATCTCAGATCTCTGCTATTATAAACGTTATCTTTCCATCTATACACATGTATTGTCTTCATCGCTACTTTGATTTTAACTTAATAAACGGTGTCATTAATTTTCCGACACGCACAGTGTTTTTTTTAATTATCTATAATCTTACACTTTGACCATGAGTCCTATCTGATGTTGCTTTACGATTTGACACACGACGTCATCGAGAACACGTTTCCCTGACGAAACCATGGCGATCGGTGGACGATCAGTTATTGCACTAAGAAGGATTATCAGGAACAGCAATTTATTTGTGTGATCTTTGATAATAACAGTGTGGTGTCCTGGCGAGTGCACGCTGCCAAGAGATTGCCCGGAGATAAAAAATGGCTCGGAGATGTTTATCTCCTTGCGTGGAACTTGCACAATTTCGCGTACCACACCGTGGCAACCGCGACGTGTCTACGTACGCATTGGCCAACTCCCTCGAGCAAGGCTTTCCTTTCCTGTTACAACCAATTTTCGCTTTTACGATTAGGTGTCTAAAGGAGTCAGTAAATAAAAGATCTTTTCTCTACAGAGCACAAAAGCCTATTCATGTCTTTTTCGGACAATGGTTTAGATAGAAAATAAAAAATAGAATTACATATAAAAAGAACGATTCTGCGTTTAAGTGTTTAAAAATTTAATTAAGTACAAATCTAAAAATAATTTTGTTGGACCATCAACATAATTATGTAGAATGCTCAAGCATACACGGAGAAAAATTATTTTGCTATAAATGCAAAAGAATTGCAAAATTTAATTGTTAAATTTGTTTGCTGTTTATACTAAATAAAATTGCATATTTGATAAATATTTTACATTTATTGCAAATAATTTTTAGCCAGTATAAAAAATAATAGATATTTGTTACACCTGCAAATAATTTGCGATCCCTATATTTGCAAATGGAATTTACCGTTATAACATAGGATTAGCATTCATACCAAATATTTTCTCTGTATAATGAGCAATGTCGTAAAAAGTGTACACATTGTAACTTAAACGTCCTACATAATTATTTTGATGATCTAACAAAATTATTTTCAAATCCAGTAGCTTGTTAAGTTTTTAAATTATTTCTAGTTCACTTTTTAGTTTTTTCATATATAATTAATATTTCTCATACATGTTCTACTTTGATTAGATTGCTCAACTATTTCACATAATCATAAAATCAAAAGGATATTAAATAGAAATATTAAATAGGTTAAAAATCTAATACTGATATAAATCGCGGAGACTTTCAAACGCATAAAGGTAGCGATCAAAATTCGGTTCACATAAAAGGAAAGTCTCTGACTTCAGATTACAACGATCTGACCCGACAGTTCCATTTTCGAAACACCTTGTATAAGTGTGATTTGCTCACTTGGCGAGAGCAGAGAATGGGCCGGATGGGTTAATATCAAGAAAGAGTCACCGGCAAGCGTGTCCGGACTCTGAAGAAACGTTACCAGGTTGGAGAGCGTCTGTCCCGGGCGTTTCCGGTCCAGCAAGCACGATTCGCCGCGCGATAATTAGTACCGCGCCGAGCATACGAACGGGAGATTCCGCAATCAGCGTACCGCGACTCTCGTCGCGCCCGGAGGCTACGTTCTCCTTCGAACAGGCGAATATTCTGTGGACGTCGCGCGATTATCTTGGCCGATGAATCATCACCGCGATTTCCCGCCAACGAGGTCGCCGCGTTTCCACACGCCATCCCCCTTCATCCGAGCGGGTGTCGCGAATGTCGCGAATCCCGCCCCGCGGCGATGAGAGGCCTCTCGATCTCGTGGCACGATCGGACGGCCAGGTGTCAAGATTAGCAACCCGATGTCTCGTTATCGCTCGACGCAAGAGAGGGTGGGGAGGTAGTCGTCTGGAACGGCGACGGGAATTTTTCGTAGTCGACGGTGATGGTGATGGTGGTGGGTACGAAAGTCGCGTTTCGTGATCCAGAAGAAGAATATGCGGGGGGAAGGTAAGACGGAAGGGCGGGGGCCCCGAGCCGCGAAGAAAGGCAGGAGCTATAAAAGAGCTGGCGGGCCCCATGATGGGCATCAAACACCTCCAACATGAAGGTACGTAGAAGTGGGTCCTAGCGCGAACGTATACGCATGTACATTGCATAAACATTAATATATGTATATGTATACATGAATTATCGAAACACACTCTTTCGTGCAGATCAATTTCTCGCGATTGTTTTAAAGCTTTCACACCTGACCGTTCTCTCGTTGCAGGTGTTCATTGTCACACTCGTGCTGGTGCTCGTCGCCACTGCATACGGTGAGTACAATGGGGGCTTATGAAAACGGCGGCCGAGGATTATGACGGGGGTGTTCCGCGTGTGAAGTGTTCGCGGCGTTTTTAACCCTCTCAATACGCCAGAATCCGTGGATAGTGGTTGCAACTAACTGTAAATGTGCCAATTCACTGTGTCGTAAATGTGACAATTTACTTTATTTTATCTTATTTCCAAAATAGACTTATTCTAAATCTATTTTAACGTAGCATTAAATTAAACGTTATAAACATGATTACCACCTTCCTGTCGGAGATCCCACTACCTTGCTTTTGAGATCGATTGCTTATCAAAATTGTATTTTGTAGTGCGTTCTCTAAAAAAAGAAAATCATCAAGACTTTCATTTTTTACAATATACAATCGATCTCCGGTAGAAAGATGGTATCTATAATTATAAATGCAAAATAAAACTATATAATAAAATTCGAAGAGAGTCAGCAATTTAAAGATTTCAAGAAATTGTCTAACGTTGTTTTTTTTTTGCTGTTAAATTATATCCACATCTTTTAATAACCGGTAGTTGTTAATTATTCTTTTAAATATTGTCACAGATTACAAAAAAGTAATTATCGTCGCTACCATGGCAAGAATTATCATTTGAAATAATAAGCAACACTGCTATTATTATTTACACTAACGAGCGAGACGAACAGACGCACACACATTTCATAATATTTTTTTCAATTTTTTTATGTGATTACCGGTTAGTTCAGCAATATTAAACGAACTCATAAAATTTAATTCGAGAGTGGTTTGTACTTGCCCCCTGCCCTTTGAGACGACTTACACAATCGGCAGAACGTAACCAGTCTCTTTCTTGTAGCAATCACAAAATACCTCGTGGCAATTTGCGGACCGCGAGCGAGCGCAACCATCTGGTACCACGCTCGTAATCGCATAAAGAAAGTCAATAAATCGTACATCGCGCAAACACACACATCCCACATCTCTATAAATTGCGGTCACCTAACTAAGAATCAAAATTTTTGAATGTGTTGAAAAATAATGGAATCTATTATGATTTTGAAATTATAGGTGGTTACATAAGCAGCGGCGGCGGTGGTTATGGCGGCGGTGGTTTCGGCGGCGGCAGCAGTGGATGGAAGCTAGGCGGCGGAGGTGGATACGGCGGCGGTGGTTACGGTGGCGGTGGCTATAGCGGCGGAGGTGGCGGATGGAAGTTTGGCGGTGGTGGATTTGGCGGCGGTGGCGGCGGTTACGGTGGCGGCGGCGGTGGAAAGATCATCAAAGTAATCGCGCTTAGCGACGGAGGTGGATATGGCGGCGGTGGCGGATGCGGCGGCGGCGGCGGCAGCGGCGGTGGATGGAAGTTCGGCGGCGGAGGTGGATACGGCGGCGGTGGATACGGCGGTGGTAGCAGCGGATGGAAGTTCGGTGGTGGAAGTGGTGGTTTCGGCGGCAGCAGCGGCGGTGGATGGAAATCAGGCGGTGGCGGCGGATACGGTGGTGGTGGATACGGCGGTGGTGGATACGGCGGCGGCGGTGGAGGTGAGATGTGTTACTGTGTATTTTATTATTGTTGATTTTATTGTTACGAATCAATTAGATTGGTAGTAATACTTACGGTGCAAATTGTAATCAATTTAGAAATCAATCAATTGAGAATGTCGAAGAGTAAAGTTCAATATAAATAAATTTTTAAAAATAATACAATATAAATGCTCTATTAAATGCTTAAAAACAGTATAATATAGAAGCTTCACAAACATTAAAAATGAAATACAAAAACAATAGAGTAAAACAAGAAATTGCTAATAAAATATTTAGAACCATGTTTTGAATAACAAATAAATTACAATAAATAAATCATCTCTTTAATCTCGGAAAAACTCATCGAGAGGATAAATCACGTAAATCAACTTTTCTCTCTGAAAATTTATCGCCATGTAATTTTTTTCTTCATAATTATCGAGCAACTATACACGCTCCGGCAAGCATTATACACATCTTAAACTCATTTATCGTATGAATTAATTTCCAAGCTGATGATAATGCTCACAACAAACAATCGGCGCGAAATTTGTTCGTGAGCAAAGATTAATTTAATGGTGTCAAAAAGTATGTAAATAAAATTTATGAACAAAGTATATATCGATCCTGAAAAAAACATTGAAATTTTAATATTGTTATAATAAAATATTGCAGATCTCTTGTGCCATACGTGATGACATTTATATTGAGTTTGAGTTATTTAATCCATTAATATCGATAATCCCCTCGCAACTCGTTTTAATTTATACAGTTAATAAATCATTCTTTACCTTGGAGAGAATTATCAAGAGGATAAGCCACGTAAATTATACTTTCTTTTTCGAAAATTTATCATCGTGCAATTCCCATTCTTTTTTTATTATCTCACCGTTATGCACAGTCCGGTATTAACACACATTTTAAGTTTATTCACCGTACGAATTATACTTCCAGGTTGGTGGTAATACTCACGGCAAACAACAGTGCTCACGAGCAAACGGAACGAAATTCGCTCGCCGATCATCCGCATATCTCGGCCCATCGAAGCATCGATCGTCGTCGATAAGGAAATTAACTCGCGTTTGGCCTTTCTATTCTTCTGATTTTCGTCAATCCGCCATCGGAAGATCAAAAAAGCCAAAATCGGAACATCGCGTAAGGCAGAAGCAAGAAGTTGCCTGGTACATCGCCGAATAAATTTGCAAGAGAAAACGTCACAGCGTACAACGCATGTATGAGACACCATCTCTGTTACCCTTCATCACCAAGCACAGGGATATCTCTTGGAAATAGCGAACGATATCGTCGCCTCGCTTCCGGCCATTCGAACTTGCCGCCGTGTCGTCTAGGCGAAACGACTTCCTTCTCGACGGCGCATTTTCCCTCCACGTTCCGCCGCTCGCCACCCCTTCATCCCTTACAATCCGGAAAATCGGCGAGCGTTCCATTTACGAGCGAATCGTACGCCCTGATATTTCAATCCCGCTTCCACGTATGAACATTCGCCCACCTCATCCCTCCCGTTTACTTAACCCGCGCCCTCTTTCGAGGATCGAAGGCGTCAGAGCAAGGCACCCTCACGAGCACAACATTTAGCCTATTACAAACACGTAGCGCAAAATCCCGTGTAATTCCCCGGGCATTACCCCAGATGCCTCGAACACGAACGAGCAGAAGTGACGAAAAACTGCGGAAAAATTACACCTGGTGAAAAAAAAGCGCAGTGATCCATTTCACGCACATTTTTCTCTTTCCCTTTATTGTCTGGACCACTCCACGATTCAACGATCCACAATAAACGAGTCATATTGATAGAATAATTATGTGTTTACCTTCGTTTTTTATTATTATGCTCCCCTCCGGGCTAGCGACCGTAACTTTTATTCCTGACGACATATCTCTATAATGTATGCACGCATGGCAAACATGGGGAAAAAATGGAATGCAGCCGCCGCTACCAATTTAGCGATTTTCCGTCGATTTATGTATCCGCGGTGATCTTGCATAACCGGGGCGAAATTAAAACCGTAAATGCCCGGTGCACTCATCGAGAAAGATATTGCTGAACGTATGAATTTATTGTACTATCGCCACTCGCGCTATTACGATATTGCGCCAGCACATAAATATCGCGCTTATTTAGATACGATTTTTTTTCCACGCGACATAATCGCGACCGAGAAAGACGATGCATTCTAAAAAATATCGATATGGATTTAACACCATGCCGTGTCTATACATACTATATATTTTAACTGTGTTGGTGTCAATAATAACACTAATTTATATGATGTGGATTTAACACCATAGGGTTTTAAATTCATGGTATTGATATAAACAGAAGTTACTATTTATAACTATTTATAATTACTATTTATAAGAAGTTATTATTTATAAACCAGAGGTTATAAATCCATACTGTATTGATGTTAATATTAACACCAAAATGGTGAGAATTATGTAGATACTGCATAGGTTAAATCCACATTAATATTTTTAAGAGCATGTGTATAAAAATTTCATTAATCTACAACTTGGGACCGTTTGGTTTATAGCAGTATTTCTCCAAACGTTAAAAGCTTCCGTATCTTTTCTTTGCGTACAATTTAATATCACGTATTATGGCAACAGATAAATGTTCAGCGACATTTTTATTCTTTACGTAATAGCGAATACTATATGTAAAATTTTATTGATCTTTAATCTTTTATCAGCTAAATATCCGACATTTGCCGGAATGAGTTTCTTTAGATATTCGGTCATATAATCTCCGCGCAATTTTATAATTTCGTACATATACCCTCAATTGTGTATTATTATGTCAACATATAACGGATAAAAAAGAATCTCTTCTACTCTGGACACGGAGAAATAAATGGGATTGACCTAATAAAGAAGCTATGTAATGAAGTTTAATGTGTAGAATAAGCATTAAGAGGTACGTACACACACAATCAATTTTCCCTGTGGTAGTTGCGTGACTTTAACGTAATAGTCGTGCAAGTAATATCACGGTAATTATATTCTACTCACGTGTCATAAAAGCAAGGCAACTCGATTTGTCGCTTAACGTTGATATTACAAGTTTCGTCATGGCTCTTTGCCGATCACCCTCAATCGTGCATAATTACTGTCGTGTAATACCTATATTTTTACGCATAATATAAAATTTATTTTTTTCTCTTTAGTTATCTTTACCGTAAGATTGTTATTCGATGTACGTGAGAGAAATTGTATCTTGTTGCCTTTTCAATAACTACGTTGCTTTATGTTTTAATGACGTCAGATATTCGTGCGCATCACCACCGATAATAAAACTGAACTACGTATCTGCCTTTCAAAAGGATTTATATGCATAATAGCTATCTTAAGTCCTTATTGAGATAAAATAATCTGCGTCAAGAAAAGGCATTATGAATGTCAACATTATGGATACTGTCTGAAATTGTAATTGCCTTTCTAATTTTGTTCTGTTTGAGGGTACGTTCTTTTCTGTTTTATTATTAATTTTATATTTTTTGAATTTTTAAAAGAAGAAACATTGTTATTATCAAAGTAGTATATATGTATTATTATATTTTTCGTAACAGTAACGAATTTTACAGTTACTTTCTACTTCTTACATTTTGAACCTATTTTTATAACATAATTTTTTTACATATTTACTCTTCAATCTTTAGCCGGTATTCATATTTCATTCTTACTTCAAGACTGCTTTAAGTGATGTTAAAATTCGGTAATTATTCTTATTAGGGGACACCGTGCCGATGACCTTAATCTTGACATATGTTATTAAGGTTATGACCCTGAGTAACCTTTAATAGGTTTTGGTGGTAAGTGATGTCATGTACTTCAAAATTTATTGTGAAAAATATCCTTAATCGGATTGTGTTTCAAGACCGAAATTTAATTAGCGCGTGGTTTATAGAATTAGGTACATATATATATATACTATATATATACTATATATATATATATATACTAGTATATATATATAAATTTACTCTAAAATATTATTATGTACAAAGTTCTAACTTGAATCGAGAAAGCATTTTCCTCCTTAGTTGTGTTTTTCATATATCTAATGTCATTATTGTTTTATTGGTTTCAATATTTAAACAAAAATATTGCAAACTTTTTTAGACTTATCTTATTTCAATATTAAATACGAAAAAATAACGAACCATCACTTTTTAAGGTAACGATAACGAGTTACTTTTAATTTTGTATTTATTAATGAATAACGGTAATTAGTTACTTTTAAAAAGTAATTATTTTTATTTTGGAGTCCAACTTTGGGGGTTCACTTTAAAACGTTGCGCTCTTTATATATTCTTTTCCATGTGATTCTTATTTACAAGTTAATGCATCGCTACATATCGGCGAGGATGTGTATTACTCGCGGGTGAATGATTTTCATGATATATTACATATACATACATATACATGTAATACATATACAAGAAGTATTCATATAATATTCTGAACATTTCATTAATATTTGAACATATGAAAATTGTTTTTCTGTTCGATTATACAGAACATTGAAAATACAAATTAAACTTTTTGTGAATTATTTAAGGATTGTATTATCGAAATAGGTATTCCGCAATCATATTTTTACTACCTCCATTTACAGTCGACTTTTTTACAGGATTTCTCAATGAAGTAATGCTTTACTTGTAATGCCATTACCGTTATCGTTACTTTATAACGATTGTAAATTCTATAATTGCGTAAGCGTAGTTATTAGTGATTGTAGTTCTAAGCATTGGCCAATTACAGTCAAATATTCTCTTCATATTCGACTGTAATTAGTCAATTTTTACGACTACAACCTATAATTACAACCTATAACGTTTACGCAATTGTAGAATAGGCTTTACTTTATTCGGTCTGTAATTGTAATTTGTAGTAACGGTATCAAATTCATTATTTTTATCGTTATTTCAATACCTTATTACATGTATGTCTATTCAATAAATCGTATTTTATTTTATTAAAATACACTCTTAACGATAACGCATTATTTTTATGAAATACGTTTCCAACCCTGCTTTTTTTGTTTAGTTTAAGCTTCTTTAATATTGTTTTACATTCAAAAAAATGTAAAAAATTTTCAGTTATTTTTTAACATCTCTATTGCATTACCAAATAGTTTCTTAACTTAAATGTTAAAACCTTTATTTAAGAAACATCGGAAGAAAAATTAAAATTTCGTAGAAATTTGAATGAAATTTCGCTTATGCAAAAAAGGTCTAGAATGCAAACGGAGAATTAAGGTCAGTTAAAGTATACCAATCAATTTAAATATATAATATGTATATTAAATGGTATCAGAAACAACCCATTGTTTTACAATCGGCCCAATGCTGGGTATATTGGTTGCCACACTTCAGGTAAACTACTGGTCTAGTACTGGCTAAGTACTGGATGATAATTTGGGCTCAGTACTGGCCCAGTCATTTTAGCCGGTTATTTGCCAGCAATAGCCTAGTACTAGTTGACAAAACTTTGGCCGTCATTTGTCAGACAGCTATTAGATTAGTCATGGCCCAGTACTGGCTGATAGCACTTTGGCTGTTATTTGACAGCCAGTTATTTGTCGATGATGGCCCAGTGCTAATTGACAGAATCTTGGATGTCAGTTGATAGTCGTACCGTTGGCTAAGTGTTGGTTTCATTTAACTACTGGCGACCCTATATGGGAAGGCGAAGCAAAATTTCTCTAATATAATTGCATCCGAATAAAACGGTTCATCAATGCAATAAATTTAACTGTGAACTATCACAGATCAAGTAGCGCAATGCTTCTTAGTAGTTATTATTATAATATTTAGTTATAGTGTTAGTTATAATATAATAATTATAGTTACAATAAATAGTTATAGTTATAATAAATAGTTATAGTAATGTGAGATTAAAACGGACACAGTTGTTACTGATAAATTTAATGTAATGACAATGTGCGAATCGACAACTGTGAATCCCACTTAAGATCAACGGCCTGTATTTGCACGACTAGTGCCTTTCGGTT